AGCTTTTTGCTTTGTCCCATCTCTCTCATACATAATCATTTTAATCAATTTTTAGTTTAGCCCACAGATTCTTTAACTCTTAATATTACTTTTAGCACCTGTGTGTAGGCAGGAATGGATTGTTATTACCGTACCCATGACAGAGGAGGCAGCATTGCCCTGTTTAATCCCAAGCCTGGGCTCCTTCTCCTGTTCCATACCGCCCTCTACAGACCACCCCGAAGAATTTCACCAAGGAAGTACTGCCATCTAGTCACCCTTTGTTACACATCCGACTTAAACAGACTGCTTGCTTCAGTGATTACTCCTCCTACTCTAGAATTATGGGATATGAGCATGCCAGCTATTTTTGGACTTCAAGTGACGCTTGGTGTCTGGAGCTAGAAAAACACGTGGGTGAATATGTATGAATAAGCGTTGGTGTATGTCTGTATGTGTATGTGTATGTGTATGTGTATGTTTGTTGTTAGGGAAACAAATATCCCCTAGAGCTGTCATTTTCTGCTAACACCTGCTGTAGTGATGTGGAGTTGAGGTACAAATGGCATTCATGGAATCACCCTTCAGGCAAATGTGGGACCATTTACAAGAAGAGAGTAGTTTCAAAATTATTGATGGCAGTTCAGAAAATAATATAGTAAAGCCTGTGAAGTCTCAGTTTGTAATTTGGGTACGTTTAACAATAAAAACTTGTAAAACGTCCCATGAGTTCAAAATGACTATAGTACTGACAACTGGGAACAAAACAGAGACTACCAGTTTCCTAACTGGGTGAGTGCACAAGTACGAGAGACTAAAAATCCTGTGGCATTGTTTATCAGCAAAAGATTTCCTCCAAACCCCCTTGCCCACCCCCCTCACCCTCTAGAGACCTGGGGAACCCAAAGTGTGAAGCTCCCTGTGCTGGGCCAGAGAAACCTGCAACCTTTTTATAAGGTGAATGTTGAAAACCTGTAGAAGCTTCCCTCCTGCTGCCTTCAAAGAAAGCGACCCAACACAGGCTCACAATAAATCCAAAGAGTGAGGGACCTTTCCCAGAATCATTCTTCTGCTTAGACAAAATCCTAGGAAGCTGTCCCCAGAACAGCTGAGTTTTTGTTTGAAATAAACTTTCAAAAGCAGAGCATTTCAATGTCCTAGGTAGTTCCCACATGTACTCTAAAATTATTATTGTTATTGTTATTTTTAAAACAATGACAACAGTAGAGAGCAGTGAGAAGCCCTGCTGCAAAGAAGGCCAGATAAGTCAGTCATTTCTGAGGTTAGTTAGGGCCAGCGTGACATGGCTGCCTGAGTTTGTTGGGGCAGAACAGGCCAGTGCCGGGGCCTGTGAGCCTGCCCAGCCCAGGGCCCTCCTCCCCAGGCATCAGGGAGGCTGCGCCCTGAGCCGCAACCCTGTTTCGCTTTCCTTCTTTGCCCTTTCCCCTGCAGCAGGGGTCAGGAGAGGAGGTCCTTGACTCGAGTGCCCCGGGGAGAGCAGAGAGGCTGTTTTTTCATGCATAACATGAAAGGGGCGACTTGACCAGCACTGATGTCTTAAGCCCTTACATCCTGGGCCAGGGAAACTCCTCAGGACCCCAATTCTTAGTAATCTCACCCTTCCTAATTACTTTGTTTGAAAAACAAAGTTATTTTCTTACAACTCAAGCAATGCACATTTATTAAATTTTTGAAAACTTTGGAGATAGGAACAAACTTGAGTGTGTGAATATGAAATTGACACCAGTTGCAGACCGTCTACGCTTCTTTTTCCCATTCGTCCATCCTTAAAAGTAGTTTTAATGACCGAGCAGTATTTCACCCATTTTACAGATGCACAGTATTTTAGTTAATGATTCTTTTATTGTTGGACATTGAGGCAGGTTCTACCTCATTACTCTCCTCAGTAATCTCACACACACACACACACACACACACACACACACACACGCAAAATCTCTGATGATTGAACCAGGGCATTCTTCTAGAAAGTTACTATTCTGTTAAATCCAATGACTTTTTAAGTTTTTTGGATACATCACTCAATTGGCCACTATGCTTATTCCTTACAACCTCAAGTACCCATATCTGACAATTACAAAAAGATAGGTGGAAAAAAAAAACTTTTTAAAAATTAAAAATGTCGAACCTGTATTTATTGGCCATTCACAATTCTTCTGTAAATCGCTTTTGTCCTTTCTCAATTTTTTGAAATTGGGAAATAATTTTTTAATATAATCTTTATTATATTTTTTCCATTACCATTTAGACCCCTTATATTCCCCTCACCCCAGCAATCACCACACTGTTGTCCATGAGTCCTTTTTCCTTTTTGCTCAGTCCCTCCACCCCCCAACGGCCCCCCCCCCCAGTGCCACTGCCACTAGCTGTCATCCATTCTCCATCTATGAGTCTGTCTCTGTTTTGCTTGTTAGGTCAGGTTGTTCGTTAGATTCCACATATGCGTAAAATCATGTGGTATTTGCCTTTCTCTAACTGATTTATTTCACTTAGTGTAATGTTCTCCAGGTCTATCCATACTGTTGCAAAGAGTAAAATTTTCCTCTTTTTTTTTTATTGCCAAGTAGAATTCCATTGTGCAAATGTCCCATAGTTGTTTTAATTTTGTATTACTTAACACATTAGGACTTGTTATATTTACCCTATATGGGAATTATGGAGCACTAATGTAATAATAAGTTTGAATAAATCTATGAACACTTATAGTTAGTTTATTTTTTAAGATAAACATTTCAAACTATTTAAAACCTCGTTAGGGTAAGTTTTGCTCCCTGGAGCTGCAGATTGCGTGGTCAGCTCGGAAGCGGTCTCTGGGGCGAGACTGAGGGACACCGCCGCAGGTGGCCGCTAGGTGTCTCTGGTCACCCTCGCAGCCAGCAGCCGGCGGCCTCGCGGCGCGCTGGCGTGGCCCGAGCTGCGGCTGTGGCCGATCCCTCAGCGCTGTGCTCATCCGCCTCCCGGATTTACTGTCTGTGACCCAGGGCTACCGTTCCCTGGCCTCAGCGCCTCCGAATAGCCTTTGTGTTTTGGAGTCGATGTGGGTTCTTGGGTGGCTGTGGGGACGGACCTATCCGGCACAGAGGTTTCAGAGGTCTCCAAGCACGGATGCCGAGCCCGGCCACAGACACAGGGCTCCCGCCAGCCCCCCGCTGGCCACCAAGCCTGTGGAGGTTGTTCTGGTCCTGTGGATCTTATGAGCAAGTTCGTGTAAGGAGTGGGCAGGGCAGGGAATTTACAGAAAAGCGAGTGCAGGGAGGGGAATTAGAGGCCCCCAGGCTCACTTTCCAGTGGAGGAGACAGGCAGACAAGCCAACAGCCGCAATCCTGACAGTGGGGCGGCTTCTGCGCGGCCCTGGGGAAGGGGGAGTGGGCGGAGGGCCAGGGAAAAGAGGTTTCATGGGGGCGTTGACACGTGGGCCGGTCAGTTGACAACTGACCAGCAGGATATGGTCAGTTGATGGTATCACTTTGTCTAAAATCAGGGACAACCTTTTTCCTCAGATGGGGTCCTATCGCAGCTATGGCTTTTGTGGTTTGGAATCATAGCGATACAGAGTTAAAAAAGCAACATGGAGCACACTGAGCTGGGCTGAATAGAAGTAGTTTAGAGAGAATTCTATTATTTAAGGGAAACCAGGACAGTATGGTTGTTGCACTCATGGCTCTGGCCCTGACTGCTCTGGGGCACGTTGAGAAAATGTGTGATGGTTATGTTTCCATGTGTGGAACATGAGATAAGAGTGCCCACATCCCAGCGTTGCGGGGAGGATTCATGGAGGAACCGTATGCCAAACGATTAAAATCATGCCTGGCTCATAGCAAGTGCTAAGGAAATATTTGATCTTATGATTATCTTTGTTTTTAAAACCAGCCCATTTATCAGTTCCACTTTTCTTCCCAATTTTCTCACCAACACTTATTTATAGCCCAAATTTCTTCCCTGCATCTCAGTTTTTTAAATTTATTAAAAAAATTTTTTTTAAATCCTCACCCTAGGGCAGGTTTTTCTTCCATTGATTTTAGAAAGAGAGGAAGGCAGAGAGAGTAAGAGAGAGGGAGAGGGAGAGGGAGAAGTGGGGGAGAGAGAGAGAGAGAGATCGATGCAAGGGAAACATTGATCGGTTGTCCCCCAGACATGCCCTGACCAAGGCTCGAACCTGCAACCTAGGCATGTGCCTTGACTGGGAATTGAGCTGCAAATTTCTAGTGTACAGGATCACACTCCAGCCAACTGGTCCACCCAGCCAGGGCACAACCTGTTCAGTTTTATCTCTCATCATTGTGCTCCCAGATCCTTATCGAAGAAATTGAGTTAATAGTCATCCTGAGGCCTTTCTCTATTCTCCTGTTCTCTCAATGACTTTCCTAGTAGGTTTTGGATTCTTTGCCTCCTGGATCCCTGTCTTTTAGTTGGGGATCCTGGGATTCCTTCTGTATTCTGGGTGAAGGTCACTTTTCATCAGGGTCTAGGTTTGAGTCAGACTGTTTCCTACATCATGTTATGGGGACATTTCTTTGCTGTGGGGTTGAAGCCAGTTCCCTTTCTTCTCCTGTCCCAACATAAAATGTCCCCATAGGTCCTTTTGGAGGAAATGGAACTACTGTTTTTTGTAGTCTAGAGTCAGGATCTGTCTCTTCTGCAAGGCAGTTAGTGGTGGCCTGAGAAACAGAAAAGAGAGACAGAGTACCCTGGGTTGGAACAAAGTCAAAGACAGCCTAGTGGTGCTGAGGAAAAGAAAATTTTATTTTCTCACAGGGTCAGACACGGGGGTGATAATTGATGGGGTGGGTATCGCAAGCCCTGGCAGAGCTTGAGGCGGTCCTGTGGGGCCCTGGGCAGTGGGCCGGGGGACACTGAGAAACTTCAGGCCGCTCTGCAGAGCCGTCTCAGCAAGGACCACGGGGCTCGGGGAAGGACTGAGAGGGAACACGCTAGGCAGAGGATGGCCCCTGAAACTTGGTTCCCTCTGAAATCGCTGGTCGCAGCATCCGAGTCCAGGTCAGCAGCAGCCCCCGGAGCTGTGGCCGCAGCCCGAGGCCCCGTCCTCGCAGGAGTCGGAGCTCTGGAGCCGGCATCGGTGGGACCTGCGGCGGTGCCTGTGGTGGCTCAGGCAGCAGCCGCCCTCGGAGCTGGAGCTGGGGCCGCAGCCGCCCCCGGAGCTGAGGGCACAGCCAGAGGGGGCTGGCGGTGAGCACTGTGCTGGGCTCTTTGGGGGGCACTTGGGGGAGGGGCACTTGGGGGAGGGGCACTTGGGGGAGGGGCACTTGGGAGGTGGCTGGCACTGCTGCTGGTTCTGTTGGCAGGACATCTTGGCAGGAGGTGAGGGAGCCTGGATAGATTAAAGGAAAAAGTGCAAAAAAGCTCCAGAACAGTGTCTCCTCTATGAACATCTTGTAAAGCCCCTGCTCCTCATACCAGCTGCTTTCTGAGTTATGATGTTCAGGAGGAAAATGGAAACTGATATCGAGTTAAATTGACCAGAAGATATTTCCTGTACTTGCCCCAAAATTCTCCTTCCAAAAATAATGCTAATATCTTCTTACTGGGCTCCACATCCACCTGTCTTCACAGAAACATGTAAGCAAATACACCCCAATAATAATTTCTGGAGAATGCCTCTGACATGTGTGCATCTTTCAGGATAAAGAGCCGGGGGAATGTTGACAGCCAGGGCTCAGCATGTCTCACACCCGGATGCATCCCTCAGAGAGTCCTTGCTCACTGTCCCTGTTCTGTCCTCTGCTGCCCTCCAAGGTTCTCTTCTTGCTGCCGTCACATCAGACAGCTTTACTTCCCTCCTCCGCACTGAAGTCTGGGGCTGTCTTCCCAGCACTCCCAGCTGAGGTCCTGTCCCCTTCCAGACACTCACCGGATGCAGAGGAGGCAGGAGAAGGCTGGTCCTGAGGAGGCTGTGGATGGGGAGCCCAGGGCAGGAGCCCTTTTATCCTGTGCTGGGTTTGTGACACACGGCCCGAGCATGCTGCTGCTTTCACAACCAGGGGGAGGTGACATCTCCACACACTTCCATCCCAGGTCTCCAGCTTCTCCCTGCACACATGCCAAGATGCCTGGCAAGAGGGAACTAGGAAATCTTGACCACTGCTCCCCAGGGGTGCTGGGGACCTGCTGTTTCTCCTTTCACTCAGCTCAGATGCTTTAACTTTGGCTCTGCCCTTTGCATTTTTGCTGGGCAGTGAGGATGTAGAGATGCATATGACACATTTCCTGACCTTGAGCATTTCAAGTTTAACTGGACAGACATCAGAAAAGTAAACATTTATGTTTGATACTATGTGATTTGTCCTTTGATACCTCTGTCTTTTGAACATTAGTTCCCTATTGCTCTGCATAGTCCCAAGGGTCATGATTTGTTGGGTATAATCAGCTCCTGAGCTCTGGGGATGTTGATGATCTGAGACCACCGGCCCCTGGGAATGAGACGTGCTGGGTAATGGAGGGGGGACGGGACCCAGGCCCTGCCTGGGGCAGGTGGAGCTCCTAAGAGAACCAAAGCAAAGGTAGAATTATATAAATACAATGGTTGAGATCATGAGACTCATATTTAGTATAAAAAATCCAGTTTTTTCATATTTATTTTCCTCTAGGATGCATAATATTGATTATAAAAATGACCTATGAATGTAAAGTATTTAAGGTAATTATTAGGAGTCATGAAAATGATTTGTTCAATGTGTAGCTAATGGGGAGGTTGATGATGGTGGTGATGTTATGTGCATCACATTTAATAGAACAGATCTCATAATTTCTAAGGATGACTTTTTATAAAATCTGAACCTTGTTTTCTCATTGGATTCTATTATAGTACTAGCAGTTAATTTCTCATTGACTTCATGTCTGCTTTCACAATTACTGCATTTTGTTATTTGTTTCCAAAGATTACATTCAGTACCACAGCAAACATTAATCATTTATATTTAAATTAAATGGTAATTTTTAATAAAATTTTTAATGGAAAATATGTGTTATTCTTTTCTGTACTTTATTGCTTATAGACACAAAATTCCTTACACGGGTTTGTACTTTACGACTTACCCACTTTAAAGTGAGGGGATCCCATGATTTATTTTGAAATAGCTGTGGGAGAATGAATTGAACTGGGTCACAAGAAATAGTGACTTGGGAAGGAGAAAGGGGGGAAGGGTTAGATCTGGCATTGTACCCTACTTTGGTATTCTTCTGTTTCCAGAAGGAGTCTCTTGATGAGGCGATATCTGTAGGTTTAATGCTGAACTATGCTAAAGTGTCCATTTCCTTTGTAATGTTGAGGACCCCACCACTTGATATTGTATTGAAAGGAATTATTCATGAAGGGTGAAATGGGTGCTTTCTCATATCAGACTGGGTATGTATCTGAAGAGGGACATAGAGTGTTGAACAGTGTATAGCTCCTCCTCCCAGTTACTGTCAGTGGAGGCTAAGAGAATGCCAGGTGGGAAACGGGCATTCTAACGGAAGTGTGCTCTTGAGGAACTCTGGACCTTCTAAAGGGTTCAGCGTGGTCCCTGGTCTGTGACTATGGACTGAGACACTGCCTTCTGCCTTTTCTCTTATAGATTCAATATTTACCTTGAGCCCCCTCTGCTTCCTAATTGCCACTACCAGCCCCACCATGAAATTCCTTCTTAAGTCATTCATTCTTATATTCCTCATTTAATAAATTTCTATTGAACATCATCAATATTTCCCATCCAAAGACTACTGGCAAACACACCTACAGCAGAACAAAGTTGTGCTGATTGGCTTGTTGAAATGAGGGAGTCAGTACACCATGGGGAAATATTGAGGTGTTGTCATAGAATTTGGGCTTGTATTCGGTAATTTTGGGGAAGGTTCAAGGAAGTCAAGTTTTGCTCCGGATTAGGTGCTTTCAGAAAGCAGAGGGCATTTCTGTAGTCAGGTATCTTAATTTTTAGCTAGAAAGCAAGATTTAATGGACAAGACTAAAGCTACAATTGGTAAAGAAGTAAAAATGCCTCATGTTAGCTGAGAAAAAGAGATGCTAGGTCATTTTTGTGGTTTGGACAATGCTTTTATTTCGTTGGTGCTCAGAGTGGTCTAATTTTTGTCTTGCTCCCTCATGGTCACAAAGTTAGCTTGTCTGATGTTGGAGTTTCGTGAACTTGGTTATATTCAATCAGAGAAAATGTGGCCTTGCTACTAGAACCAGCCCAGCTTGTTGCCAGCAATCTGGGACTGTTTTTCCTTTTCTCAGCAATGATTATGGGCCAGGGCACCATGGTCAGCAATAGGGATCGAGCAGAAAAAAGGAGAGATGTATCTTTTCTCGGGGGTGGGGGGTACAGTCTAAAAGATTAAACGCTTGTGATGAATGGCCCCCATATAGATTTCAAGTGCCTTGGGGCATGTGAAACAATGTCGTAGATATGAATGTTTTCTCATATCTTGTGATTATTAGAAGCTAGCCTTATCCTTATGCATGAGGATGGAAGCCATTTTTCCACCATGGGTTGCAACTCTGAGTCACTGGCAGTGGAAGGAGTGGGGATGAAAGATGGTGTGGGGTGGGGTGGTGGAGGAAAGAGGAGGAAGTACTAGTTGCAAAAAATTAACACATGCATACTTTGGGATAGTTTCAAAGGATCAAAATGTCCTTGTTAATGACCGTCAATGGGATAGTTTCAAAGGATCAAAATGTCCTTGTTAATGACCTTTTTCCTGTCCTTCATGAAACATCAGTGGATATCTCTCAGGCTTTGCCTTAGCCCCATCCCTGGCTGCCTGTCTTGGAGGTTTCCACACAAGATCTGGAGGTGGAGCTCATTAATCTCACTTCCACCTGGATGAGTTGCTCCTGTCCCTCACCCCTCCTTTTCCTCATGAGATCAGGTGCTCCTCTGCAGGCGCCACACACAGAGCACCCATCCTGTGATGACAGAGAATCACAGTAAGATCATGGCCTGGTCACTTCCCTGGAGCATGAGGGCAACTCCCTAGGAGTCACCGATCTCAGGAGTCCCATCCCAAGAAGTGTTGGCTTCCTGTAGTCCTGAGACACCAAGGAAATACAGAGACTGGTCTGACTGAATGAATCTTAGGAGAATTTCATGACTTAATCATTATAGTTGCTTTTAGAGGAATGGGCAGCGCAGGATCTCAGGTTTAGCTCCTTAGAGTACATTTTGGACATTCCATACCAGAAGTCAAGGATGAATCAAAAGGCACAAAATCCTCTCCCTTTGCTTATAACTCACAGTTCCTTGTCAGTTCTGTCTCCTCCCTCCCGATACCAACTGCATTCCATGGCAAGCAGCTGAGTCATTCTTAAGGAAAATGGGAAAATATATTCAGATAGTGCCACATACCTAAGGATCTCATGTAGATCCCAATTAACCTCTTATAGTTGAAGGCAGGGAGCTCCCAGAGCTGAGGCTCAGCAGGAAGAGACTGTAGGTGGGCCCTGAGCAGGATGTTTGAGTGGCACTTGGGGAGACACTTGGGAGAGGCTTCATACTACTCTTAGTTTTGCTTTCAGAACATCTTGGAGGAAGTTTAGTAACTCTAGATGAAATAAAAAGGCAAATAATTGCAATTGATTGTATCAACTTAAAAAAAAATCCACAGCATAGGGGAAATTCTTGAGCAAAGAGGAGTAGGGAAATAGAAAGTAATAAGTTGAGGAATTCTGATTCCATTGAGAACTGACAAAATCTTGGAGCTCTTTTCCTATTTTGTTTCACAGGCTGCAAATGAGTGGTGGAATTGAAAGAGGGTGAGGGTGAGTCTTAATTAAAGGACAGTTTGTTATACTCTCTAGCCCCAGGCTCTTTGCTTCATGGCAGGTGTCAAGAGTTTTGAGGAAATAAGTGATCTAAATCCTGAGGTTGTCCAAATGTCTGTGCCTCAGTACTCCTGTAGGAGCCCTTTTTAATCTCCCTTCATTTATTCATAAAAGTCATTCATTCTTTCAAACCTTTGATATTGAGGTAGTATATGTTGTGCTGGGTAAAGGAGGTTCAGAAATGAAGAAGATGCTACTCTGTCCTTAGGCTGATGGTATAGTGGGGCTGACAAGCAAGTAATGAAATAAACATGAGCCAGGTGAGGATGTTGTAATATGTGTGTGTGGGAAGTCCTCGTGCCTGAAGTCAGAGTTTTGGGGTGTCAGTACGCTGTCACTCTTCAGCGAATGAGTGAATGATGCACCAGATGTTATCACCTGCTATCACTTGGGATGATCAATGAGTTGGCCAGAGATGTGGAGCCCAAGTGCAAAAAAACCAGGCGAGGCAAGTAAGAGGGCTTATGGTACCCAATGGGCACCTGGGC